AGATAGATAGATAGATAGATAGATAGATAGATAGATAGATAGATAGATAGATAGATAGATAGATAGATAGATAGATAGATAGATAAGAGAGAGAGTCCCTCAAGATTAGGAGACACTGCATCAGTTATACAGAAGCTTGAAAAAATTCTGGCTTTTTCAGTCAGCAAAACAAGCACATAATTGCCAGCTGGGGATTCAGAGAGCACAAACGAATCCATACGATTCCTTTTACGTTCTTCTTCCTTGTCGTTGCACGGAGAAACTTCAGGAGCAGTCACTCCACCGTACGTTGTGGTAGACATATCAACGCAAGTCCAGCTTCCCTGTGGCCATTTCCCCCTTTTCCCCTTGCATATAAAAGAGGGGGGGAACCACAGCCAAAGATGGTGGAGGTATCCTACAATTGTCCCCCTCCCCGCGACCCCAAGAGTCTCAAGAAGAAATCGTTTTTTGAGAAGTGCAACTAAGAGGCCCATCTTCCCCAGCTCCGGGCTCTGTCACTATCGAATTTGGAGGTTTCGCTTTCATTTGCTCCGGAAGGCATCGCAGAAAATTTAGTCTGGTCTGAATTTCACTCGCGCACTGGGCCTTCCTGAGTTCTGCAGAATATCATCGCTGGGCATTTTGGGATGAAAAGGCTGACCGATAATTGTGTTCCTCCTCCAGGTGCGGAATGCCATCCAGAGAATGAGGGAGAAGAAAAAAGCTCTCTCGTTCACGGTAGGTCAACCAGAATGGAGCTGGAATCGACCCTGGAGGTCTTCTAGTCCAGCCCCCCACTCAAGCAGGAGACCCTATAACATTTCAGGACGGAAGGAAGGGAGAAGGATGGAAGGGACCTTAGAGGTCTTCTAGTCCAGCCCCTCCTGCTCAAGCAGGAGACTCTATACCATTTTAGGCAGGTGGCTGTCCAGTCTCTTCTTAAAAATCTCCGGTGATGGAGCACCTACACCACTTCAGACAAATGGTTCTCTAACATCTTTTTAAAAACTTCCAGTGTTGGAGCATTCATAACTTCTGGAGGAAAGTTGTTCCACTGATGAATTGTTCTCACTGTCAGGAAATTCCTCCTTAGTTCTAAATTGCTTCTCTCCTTGATGAGTTTTCACCCATCGCTTCTTGTCCTGCCCTCAGGTGCTTTGGAGAATAGCTTGACTCCCTCTTCTTTCAGGCAGCCCCTCAAATATTGGAACTATGCTATCATGTTTCCCCTAGTCCTTCTTTTCATTTAACTAGATCTACCCAGTTCTAGCAACTGTTCTTTATATGTTTTACCCTACAGTTGCATAGAATAGAATAGAATAGAATAGAATAGAATAGAATAGAATAGAATAGAATAGAAAATAACAGAGTTAGAAGGTAC